TGTGTGTGTGTGTGTGTGTGTGCGTGTGTGTGTGTGTGTGTGTGTGTGTGTGTGTGTGTGTGTGTGTGTGTGTGTGTGTGTGTGTACCGTGTCTCTAACCCCTGATTGGTCCTCTCTCAGCTCGTGAGATGCACAAAGCCCCCTCCTTCGTGGAGAAGCTCCAGAACACCGTGGTGAGCGAGGGTCACCCGGTGAGGATGGAGTGCCGAGTCAGCGGGGTGCCGGCCCCCCAGATCTTCTGGAAGAGGGAGAACGAGTCCATCACCCACAACACGGACAGAATCAGGTACACAACAACAACAACAACAATACAGCTTCTCTTCATGTACACTAAGCCTGTAGATAACTGCCGAATTTGATTCAATATTTTATTTCTTCTATTCCTTTGTAAATACTATGTAAATATAAAACAAGTGTTACAGATTGTTTACAGGAGTATTTCTCCCAGTTATTTTTATTTAGATCAGTCAACAGACGGGAAGAAAAGTGTTGTCTTTTTGGTCTGAGTGTTGTTCTCTGGTGTTTGTTGGTGTAGTACTCATTTCGGCCACAAGAGGCTGCACTTTACCCCGTGTTTTAAATATTGGAAAGCATGTTTCCTCACAGATTTATTTTCTCTATGCAAGCAGAAACTCAATATATATTCTTCAAGTGTGGAACTTCTTAAAATGACCCTGTAAACACTTTCTTTAAAGTCATAAACATAAACAAAGAGGTTTAAACCCTGAAATCTATTTTAAAACACAGATCACCAAAAAGAAAGGAAGTCCTCGTCTGTGTTTCAGGGACTCTCATGGTGGCACCACTTCATTTGCATTTCCCCCCCCACAAACAATGCACACTATACCCTGACCTCATCCCCTCCCGTTAAATGTGTGTGTCTCTATTATCTCCCAGCATGCACCAGGATAACTGCGGCTACCTGTGTATGATCATCCAGCCGGCGATGAAGGAGGACGCCGGCTGGTTCACCGTCTCCGCCAAGAACGAGGCGGGAATCATATCGAGCACCGCACGCCTCGACGTGAACAGTGAGACACACACTATTCATCATTTGTTGATTTGTTGATTGTTTGTTTCTTTAATTCATACATTTTATCTACGGAGGACAGCTTTAGACCTCCGTAGATAACCACACACACACACACACACACACACACACACACACACACACACACACACACACACACACACACACACACACACACACACACACACAGCTGCTACATGCATGCAACACACACACACACA